TCGGGGATCAACACACAAATATCCAAAGCTATGCGAACAAGAAAATTGCGATTGCCCTGGATCTTCACGATATAAATGCCGACTCATTAACGAATGCTGTCAAGACTGTTCTCAATGATCCAATTTATAGGTATCCAATTGAACCTTGACCCCTGCCCTCTTCATCCCACCCCCCATTCTCTAATAATTTTTCTTCATTTCAGGAATAATATTGAAAAAATGTCTAAACTATTTTTCGACCGACCAATGAGTGCCATCGACACCGCTGTATATTGGGTCGAATATACAGCAAAACACGGAACAGTATTGAAGTCGCCGGCCACCGAACTCACTTGGTGGCAGTATCACCTGCTGGACGTTTATGCGTTCATCCTAACGCATCTTCTCGCGACTCTGTACATCATCAGGAAAATGCTTTTCTTATTCTGGAGGCGTACATGTCCAGGAAGCGATGAGGAAAAACATTCAGCCAATGCCTCTTCTAAGAAAAACCAATAATTTGAATACGTCATCATTGAAAACATCATTGTTCACTCTCCTTATCTCTGTCACCACTTAGGATTCCCCTGTGCAATTCCTCATCAAAACTTATCTCTAACGAGTACACATAGTAGTTATTGTTACAATCACAACTACGGTAGTACGTGTTAGTGACATCTACCACCACCATTGATAGCTGTCGAGCCGAATCAACAGAGACGATGCCAATTGCAAACAATCATCCCAGCCATCACCGTCAGTTGTAGTCTAGAATTTTCCAACTACGCGTGGGCTCCACACCAGCGGACGATATAAATAACCGATTAGTGCCGAAATATCCACCGCTGTGCAAGGACGAAACCAGTGAAAGTTCACCGGAAGAAAATCTATCAAGTCTCTTCATAAGTATTCGGAGATAAATAAAACTACTGATGAAGTCATCATTTCGGCCTTTTTCATTATTTCTCTTCCTCATATTATATTTCCAAAACGGAATATGCGATCCCCTGAAAATCCTCGGAGTATTGCCACTACCCGGAAAGAGCCACTTCGTGATGACTGGAAGCCTCATGAAAGAGCTGGCTCTCCGGGGCCATCAGGTTGACGTAGTTTCGGTGTTTCCTCTCAAAAAACCAATGCCTAATTACAATGATATTGTGGTTGCATCTGATGATACACCGATGCCTGTGAGCAATATCACCTACGACGACATCAAGCGGTTCAGTGGATTTTCTATGAACCACTTTGTGAACCAAGCGGGAATACAGCTTTGTGATTTACTGAGTCATCCCAAGATGCAAGAATTACTGAAGACTGATAAGGGAACGTACGACGTTATCATAGTTGAGGTAAATATCAATCATCTTATATTCAGCTGATAGTGGAGTTAGATTATAGTCGACATCAGCTGAGAAAGTTTATCATTGTTTATCACTCTCCGAGTGATGATGGAAACTATAAAATCGTTGGGAGTCATTACTACACTGATAAGTTCACCCCTTCATCGAATGGAATGACATTCCAGAAATCTATTTGCTACATCGAAAAATTGGAAATGTCGCCAGATATAATTTTCGAATTACTTTGTCTCGTGTTATATTGTCAAAATGAAATGTCTGATTCCGCGAAAATTCAGAATTTTCCCATCAGGTGCAATGTTTCCGGCGACGATACCAATTTCTAATTATCGAGGTATTTTTCTCAAATGAGATAATGTTGCTTCTCATGTTAACAATATTAAGTATTGATATATTGACCTTGCGATTTATTGGGTCTTCCCAATACGCAAGAATTATTGAAAACAAACAAGGGAACGCACGCCATTATCACAGTTGAGGTAAAATATCAATCATCTTATGATATATTCAGCTGATAGTGGAGTTAGATTATAGGCGACATTAAATTAGAATGTTTATCATTGTTTATCGCTCTCCGAGTGATGAGGGAAACTATAAAATCGTTGGTTATCATTACTATACTTGTTCACCTCTTCATCGAATGGAATAACATTCCGCAAATCTATTCGCTCCATTGAAAAATTAAAAATGTCGTCAGACACAATTTTTGCATTACTTATTCTCGTGTTATGTTCTCAAAATGAAATGAGGGATTCCGCGAAAATTCGGAATTTTCCCGTCAGGTGCAATGTTTCTGGCGAAGAAACCAATTTCTAATTATCGAGCTATTGTTCTCAAATCAGATAATATTACTTCTCATGTTAACAATATTAATTATGCTGATATCTTGACCTTGCTATAGTGGTCTTACGATTTATTGAATCTTCCCAATACGCAAGAATTATTGAGAACTAACAAGGGAACGTACTACATTATCACAGTTGAGGTAAAATATCAATCATCTTATATTCAGCTGACAGTGGAGTTAGATCACAGTCGACATTAGATGAGAAAGTTTATCATTGTTTATCGCTCTGCGAGTGATAATGGAAACTATAAAATCGTTGGTAGTCAGTACTACACTGATAAGTTGATCCCTTCATCGAATAGAATAACATTCCACTGATCTATTCGCTACATTGAAAAATTGTAAATGTCGTCAGGCAGAATTCTTGCATTGCTTATTCTCGTGTTATGTTGTCAAAATGAAATATGTGATTCCACGAAAATTCGGAACTCGGTGCCGCGGGGTCTGAAAATTCTTGGCATTTTCCCGTCAGGTGCAAAGAGTCACTTTGTCATGACTGGAAAACTCATGAAAGAGTTAGCCCTACGAGGCCATCAGGTTGATGTCGTTGGAATGTTTCCGGTAAAGAAACCAATTCCTAATTATCGAGATATTGTTCTCGAAACGAATAACGTCATTGTGTTTGTTAATAATGTTACTTATGCTACTGTACAACAAGAAAGCGGTTTATCTAAACGTGACTTCGTGAGGACAGCTGGGATTGAGCCCTGTGATTCGTTAGGTCTGCCCATTATGCAAGAGCTACTGAGAACTAAGAAGGGAACTTATGACGTGATTATTGTCGAGGTAAAAGGATCATTGTTTCGAATTTCAGGCAATGATCAAGGGGTACATAATATATAGTGTTTGTTGAGCTATTATTGCGTACTGATTCTTCAGCTTGTCATAATTTAGAGATTAGATAAACCCGATGGAAGTCCAAGGCAATGTTAAAACTATCAAATTATGAACCAGGAAATTAATTGATTGCGCAGTCGATGAGTAAGAGCTATTCATTGGAATTTTTCTGACGTTAATCTCTGATTTTACTTACGTGTGGATTTATAACTCTTTGTTTGTATTATTTTGTCTTTCTAGAGCCTGATGAAGCTAAAATAATTACGAAAGGGGGCATTTATGATAATTTGATCAACTTTATTGATAATTATTAACACCGTGGAGACGAAGGGATTCATTAATTTTTCTGTTTTCCTCAAGCTGTTTTTGGCTCACTGCTATCTGGCTTTTGGACAACACCTCGATGCTCCTATTGTGGGAATTACTACTTCAAAGCTACCTGACTGGCTTCTGGGGCCCTTTGGGAATCAGCTCAATCCTTCGTACATACCGAGTCTCTTTTCAAGTGCCAGTCAACGCATGACATTCTGGGAGCGATTGCAGAATACTCTTATAACGAATATCATCACGCCTCAGATTAATTATTACATGGAGGCTGAGGTGAAGCAGGTGGAGAAATATTTCGGGAGGAAATTGTCGTCGATGAACGATCTCTACAAGGATGTTTCACTCATACTTGTTAATGAGCATTTTAGTCTCAATGATATTAAACCTCTGACGCCTGATATCATTGGAGTGGGGGGACTGCACGTGGTGGATGATGATCAACAGTTGACGCCGGTAAGTGGTTAATAACGGACGTTAATTCATTGTTTGGGGCTAAATTCTGAATAATTTCAGGACTTGCAAAAATGGTTGGATGAGAGTACTCACGGCTGTGTGTATTTTACATTCGGCTCGATGGTGAAAATCGAAACTTTCCCGGAGGCGATTATCAAGATATTCTATGAAATGTTTGAGAGAATCGCACCAGTGAGAGTGCTCATCAAAATCGTTGATCCTAAGGCACTTCCTCCTGGTCTACCAAATAACGTAAAAACATCGTTGTGGCTGCCACAAGTGGCTATATTGAGTGAGTCATTAAATCACACGTGTTGAATGTTTCGGTAGCAGTTAGCTAAACGAGTTGTCAACTTTATTTTCCCGCAGAACACAAAAATGTGAAATTATTCATCACTCATGGAGGATTGATGGGAACTCAAGAAGCTATTGCATATAAAGTTCCAATGG